CGGAAAAAGTTGAAAAATTCGAATTTCTACCCCTTGACGCCATGACGTACTTACTTGTGTACGCATTTTTAAATTAAAGTCATTGAGAGTACGGCAGCCAAGATATTTGAATTTTAACTAAAAGTTAAATGATTTTATTTTTATTTTTATTACATGGATTTTATGCCTTTTAAACAGAACGTTGTCTGCTGACAGTCTCCGCCTTCGAGCCTATGCTGCCGATGGCCTAAAATACATGCATATTCTTTTGTGGTAGTTCTCTGATAGAATAAGGCTCCGTTCACATGGAAAATCTATTTTCTAAAAATCTATTTTCGGTATCTTGTGATCACGGTCTGTGCCCTGGATACCCCGCGGCGTAATTACTGGCAGCGCGAGCGAGTTACTTCCAAAGCTGTAATTAATTCTCGGCTGCGCTCGGAGGAGAGTCTGATACCTTGACGCATGCGCAGTACGAAGTTACTCCAACTTGTTTTGCACTACCACAAGCCATAGCAGGCCTACCGAACTACCAGACTCGGCACCGAATGATCCTGAATTCATTCGCATTACACAGTATCAGACGCGACACCGCTCTTGCCTAGTACGCGATGTGATAGTGACGATTCTCAGCGGGGTTGAAAAGCATTGCATCACCACTCAAAATTTGTTCAGGGTATGATACTGTGTAATGCGATCTGACACACACCTTGAAAACGGGTAGTGTGGTCTGATCTACCGGTGAATTCAGGATCATTCTCTCTCCTGATTCCCCTGATTGCGTGTTTTACAATTATGAATTCCCCAATAAACTTCATTAAGCTTCCCTTTTCCATCTTTAAGAAGATTGATTTTGAGACATGGGGGAGTGTAATTGGCCCTCATTACATGTGCCCCCCCCTCCCCCCCATTCCACGTGCACCAGAGAGAGAGAGAGAGAGAGAGAGAGAGAGAGAGAGAGAGAGAGTGCGAAAATATCAAAGATGATAAGAACAAGAAATTGATCAACATAAACCGTCTCGTGACTCGCTTATCAAAACACTTTTTTTCATTTATTCAATCTTTTAACAGATTCAAGACGTCAATTTATATAAGATTTTACTTCAAACTCCCAAATATCACATTCCATACATATCGGTAGATAGGCCTACTTTATAAACATGTCCATAGCTGTCGTAACTATATTTCTTGGAAACTCACTGACGTAAAGAGTATCTGTACGTATCTGAATACCGGTAATCTAGAGAAGAACAAGGTCTTCCCGACATTTCTGGTACATGCAAGATTTGACAAAACACTCCGAAATGTTTTATTCTATAAGTTTGTTTATTCTGCCGTTACAATGTGATAGCTGTGTAACAATGTAAACATGGTTTTATTTTGAATTCTCGGAGGGGGGGGGGGGTAAAGTCATGTCAAAGGTAGGTCTCGAATCCAAATATGTAACAGTGCGATCCTTAAATATGGTCTATGATCCATTATGGTCTTGCACGTTAACCACTACACAGACAAGCTAAAACTGCCATCCCTCCAGTCTCCAGTCCCTTTTGTCTTATATATGGCTCACCAGAAGGATTTCCATATACATTCATAATTGTATCATTTAACCGTATTATTGCATAAGGGTAGGACTTTCAAATGGCCGGACTGTAACAGGAATAAAAGTCCGCCAGTAATACAAGTCCTACCTACTATAATTATGAGCCAGGAACCTAAGACCCCATTCCCAGAGATTAGATCGATCCAACTAGATCGACCTAACTCCCTGGGGGTTCATGCTAAATAGCTGTCAGCCAAGCGGGCCCTTACAGCTTGTAGTAGGCGGGACGGACATTTAAGCCGGATTGTCTGACAGTAATCTAGTGAGACTCCCCACGGGGATAGATCGATCTAAAATCTATGGGAATGCGCCCTAAGTCCCAGTAGGACTACT